ACCGTTCATCGTCAATTCTGGTTCCAAATGCATAAGAGAACTAATTTGAGCCTCTCACTGTACATATACTTATATTCTATAGCTGTGCTCTTCTTCTTGCTAGATTTTGCTTCTTCGTGTTGTATTGTAGAGACTGCTTTATTCATATTTAGTCTAGATAAAACATATTTTACAGAATCAGATGTTACATTAAAAGAAGATAAAAAAGTGGAACTTTGGGGAAGAAGAAATCGAGAACAGTCTAATTGGGGACCAACCCAAGTTGAAATAGAAGAAAAATGTACATTTAAAATTTCTGCTTTCTCTAATGGGTCAGTAACAACTGTCTTTTTAACATCTTCTAATGCTGGTATATCAGCAGTTCTTTCCTTCCCCAATTCACAAGACTTCACCAATTTCAAACTAGAAGCTGTGTAAGATCAAAACGCACTGCTCGATAGAGAATTGAATGGGCTATCCAATGGTATATTTGGTTGCCCCTTGATGCCGAGTTTTAGTGGAAAAGATCTGAAATACACTTGCAAACTTTTGCTTTCCAGTGGTATATAACTCTTCTCCCTACTTTATCCAAAGTAACTGAGAAAATTGTGCATAAACAACTTTATTCGTATTTAATTCAAAATAAATTACTCTCTCCTTTTCAATCCGGTTTTAAAGCAAGAGATGGAACAACGACTCTACTTTTAGATGTTATAAGTAGAATAAATGCCGGTATGGAGGATGATAAATTTGTGAGAGCGGTCTTATTAGACTGTCAAAAGGCTTTTGATAACATCTCTCATGCTGGTATTCTTTATAAACTGAGTAAAAAGGGAATTAGATAGAGTTCTGCGTGATTGATTTTTTTGCTCACGATCACGATCACGATCATGGTTGAAATGTAAGTTTTACGCACGATCACGGTTTTTTTTAAACAATGGCAACCACGATCACGATTACGATGCTTTGCAAAGTTATAATCACAATCACGATCACGATCACGTTCACGAACTTTTCACGAACTTTTCACGATCATCTGTAAGAGTATTGTATTACACCAATATTCGATTGGATGAATAAAATATCCAATCCAAAAACAAAATTGAAGAGTTTTATTTTGTTTGTTCTTATCAAGAAAGGTTGTAATCGTGAAAGGAAGGTTTCTAACATATTTCGCAAAGGGTATTTTCTTCCTAATAAAATTATTTTCATTTATTCGTGACGTTTCGAATCACATCATTCTTTCTTTTTCTTTTTCTTTATAACAGTGGTACGGACAAAACGGCAATAGTCTGGTACGAGAAAATAGTAGAACGGACACAGAAAATTCTACTATTTTCTCGTACCAGACTATTACCGTCTTGTCCGTACCACTGTTATAAAGAAAAAGAAAGAACGAAAGATAGAAAAATTTTACTTATTGTATATATGTAGTGTGTGTGTCAAAAAGCCACTAAGATCTAAATTTGTGTTTTGTATATTTTTCGTCTATGTACAAACTTCTGAAGACGAACACTTTGTGATTCGAAACGTCAAGAATAAATGAAAATAATTTTATTAGGAAGAAAATACCCTGGATGAATGAACTTTATATTTTTGAATAAATCAAATTTTGAACGTATACTCCACAATCGTGAATACGAAACTATTTAGTTTGGAACACGATCACGATCACAGAGAAAATGCTTTTGTCGCTCACGATCATGAGAAACCGTCTCAATCACGCACGATCACGATCGTTCGTGATCGTGAAATTATCGATCACGCAGAACACTAGAATTAGAGGAAAAGCCCTTAGGTGGTTTGGAAGTTATCTTTCAGACAGATTCATTAAAACTAGGTATGAAGGAGTTACTTCAAGTTTAAGAGGACTATCAAAAGAAGTGCCCCAAGGATCTGTTCTTGGACCACTGCTATTTTTGATCTATATTGATGATCTTCCTCTTGAACTTGAAGGCAATGTTCGAATGTTTGCTGATGACACCATCTTGTTTAATCACCATTATGATCCTCGTGAGGCTACTCGGATCACTAATAGAGATTTAGATAGAGCTCATGAGTGGTCAGTAAGGTGGAATGTGCCCATGAACTTGAAAAAGTGCGAAGCAATAACCTTCTCATCTT